AAGTCAGGAAACAACAGATGCTGGAGAGGATGTGGAGAAACAGGAACGCTTTTACACTGCTGGTGGAAGTGTAAATTAGTTCAAACATTGTGGAAGACAGTGTGGCGATTCCTCAAGGATCTAGAACTAGAAATACCATTTGACCTAGCAATCCCATTACTGGGTGTATACCCAAAGGATTATAAATCATGCTACTACAAAGACATGTACACACATATGTTTATTGTGGCACTATTCACAATAGCAAAGACTTGGAACCAACCCAAATGTCAATCAATGATAGAATGGATTAAGAAAATGTGGCACATATGCACTATGGAATACTATGCGGCCATAAAAAAGAATGAGTTCATTTCCTTTGCAGGGACATGGATAAAGCTGGAAACCATCATTCTAAGCAAACTATCACAAGGACAGAAAACCAAACACCGCATGTTCTCACTCATAGGTGGGGGTTGAACAATGAGAACACATGGACACAGGGTAGGGAACATCACACGCTGGGTCCGGTTTGGGGGTGGGGGCCAGGTGGAGGGATAGCATTAGGAGAAATATCTAATGTAAATGAAAAGTTGAGGGATGCAGCAAACCAACATGGCACATGTATAACCATGTAACAAACCTGCATGTTATGCACATGTACCCTAGAACTTAAAGTATAATAAAAATATATATATATAACAGAATCAGTTATATTAGAAGTATTAGTGGGAAAATGAGAATCCAAAAGATGGTTGGGTATAAGATCAACAGAAATTAAGAGTTTTTTTTTTTAACAAATCAGCAATAATTAATTTAAAATCTTATAAAAATAGTAACAATAGCAAATAAAAGCATAAAGAAAGTAAAAATAATCCCAATAAGAAACAAAAAGATATCAATTTTCAGAGGCTTGAAGTATTCATCTATAAAATTGGGAATACACATGGTCCTGGATTTTTGATGGTTTAACTTACAATTTATCAACTTTACAATGGTTCAAAAGTGATGTAAATTCAGTAGAAGCCATACTTTGAGTACACATAAAATCCTTCATTCACTTCCAGTACAGTAAAAGTCCACGAGATAGTCAATACCTTATTATAAAATAGGCCATGTATTAGATGATTTTGCCCAACTACAGGCTAATGTAGTGTTCTGGGCATGTTTAAGGTAGTTTAAGTCAAGCTATGATTTTTGGTAGGTTACGTGTATTAAATGCATTCCCAACTTATGACATTTTCATCTTGCAATGTATTTGTCATGATATAACCCCATCATAAGTCAAGGAATATCTGTATATCCTTCTCCTTCTTTTTAAAATAATTTGGAGGAGGACTCAATAATTTGTGTGCTGCATCCTAAGTGCATGCGGAATGGTGATCAGATTAAAATGCTTCATTCATAAAAGACTGAGAAATTGTTCCCTTCATACTCATTGGTTTTCTGAGTGTAGATTCAGAACTTCCTTGCACCCAAGAAAAGCAATAAATGCCGAAGAAGAGTGTTCACAGGTATTGGGATGGAGAAGTGGGAGCCTTTCTGGGAGCGTGTTACGGGGGAGAAGTGGGAGGTGGGACACACATGTGGCTGCCTCCTCAAGCAAGTATGGACATGGTCTCATTCCTGCGCAGCCCTGGGGTATGGGAGTGTGGTCCCATTCCATGCAGACCTGAGATTAGGATGAATCACTGAGGCCTGGGACTGAGCCCTGAGTGCCACCATCACTGCTGGGCTGCAGAAATCATTCAGGTGGCTGCATGGAGGACAGAAGGCATGGTATCCCCATCCACAAATGGACTATGTGGATTCATGATGCCCATGTGTTCTTCCAAATGGTGTCTGTAACTCCCCATCCCCCTGCACCATCTCAGGGAGGAGAGCAGGTGGCCCCTCCCATCAAACAAAGAAAGCACATCTTGAGATTGAATTTTCCAATATTCAGGCAAGTGGGGGCTCAGAGCCAGAGTTCGTTTGATTTACAAAAATACAGAAATGTGATATTTCTTGGAACCAGAGCAGAGGAAACACATATAAACACATTCACGATTTATTACATACACTTAAATCATCTTTGTTCAGCTCAGGGGTGGGGTGGCTGGGAGCATGAACTTCAGATCCAGGAAGATGGGTTTGGATCCAGCCTCTGCCACTTGCTCTCTAGAATAATACTCAAAACATTTCACTCCTCCAAGCTTCAGTGTCCTTATAAAAAAATGGAGAAAACAATACTGGTCCCATGTCATTGTGTGAAGATTGAATAGGACATAATAAGCCATATTAGAATTGCTTGTCAAGGTGTGTGGCGCATGGTATGTGCTCGGTCAATAGCCTCTGTGTGTAGTAACAGCTCTGGTACTAATTTTGCTAGCTGGGGGGATGGTAATAATTGTGACGGCAACAAGTATTTCATCCCCATTTTATAGATGAAGACATAAGCTCAAGGAAAAAAATCCCCAAGAGTCACCAGTTACCTTGCCTACCCCATGACACATCCTAAGACCTGACCCACGTTAATTTTAATGATTATCTGGGTGAATGGATTAATGGAAGGGGAAAGTGGAGCCGGTGGTGTGGGGGGACGGGGTGGTGAAAGTGCCTACTTAAGTCTGAAGTGGGATGCAGAGTCGTTCATCAGCAGAAAGTTACTTGGATCACGTCTGCAGTGGGGGGCTCTTCCCTAGAGGCCTAGGCCGGCTGTCTTCAGGTCAGGGGCCTGAGTTGGCATCCAAAGACTCAAAGGAATGAATTGTACATGTCAGTCACAGGGTTGGCTTGGACACCACCGTGCTGGGGCACCACTGGGCCCTCTGACCACCTGGAGAACCCGACCAAGCCTGCCACAGAGACCTCAGAGTGCCAGAGAATCACCACTGCGGCCTTACCTCTGCACAGTCAGGGCTTCTTTGAAGTCTGCCTCTCTCTGTCATCATGCTTGGCCAGGACTGCTCATCCTGATGGCACTGGGCACGCAGTGGGCTGCAGAGGGAGAGCTAGGGCACCTGGAGGCAGGCACTCTGTGTGACTTCGGAGGGTCCTTCTACCCCACGACCTCACTGCTGCCATCTGTAAGTGAAGGAACTGGACCAGATGGGGCATAAGGAGGGCTCCATCTCATGCCGAAGGCCAGGGCTAGGAGTGGCTGCCTGGGGTGCAGTGCTGGGAGGGTTTGCAAGGGGAGTGTCAAGGCTGGCCAGTGATTTGGGGGAAGAGTCAGGGCCCATCAGGGGAATGAAGTGGTTAAGGATGCCGTCAGCCCTAATAGCCACAAGTGAATTCTGTTGAAAGGGAGTTCCAGCATCTCACAGACCAAGCGGATACTGGGGATGGAAACCGAAGGCCAGACAGGATCCTCCCTGTCCTGTGGCATAAATGCCTCTCAGAACTCACAGATGGTCAGTCGGTTGTACAGGCAGTTCCTGTCATTCCACCGCCCGTCTGTGTACATCTCCACACACTGCTCTGTTCCCCGACCCGCGGGCTCCCCTGGGTACCAGTTGGTGTAGTTTACAAGGGTCCCATCTGAGTAGCGGAAGTCTCCAGGGCTTGGACCTTCAATCAGGCCCACATAGGCATACGTGTTGTACTTCTTCACGAAGCTTGCAACGGCCTCGTTTTCCTCTGGACTCCTCACGACAACAATGTGGCCGCCTGCTTTGGGGCATGCCTCCCGAAAGGCATCAAAAGTGGCAGACTGCCATTGGTGGAGAAGACCTTCTCTCCTACTGCCAGTATGGACCCCTGTAGACTAAGGGCTGGGAGCAGAGGAGTCCGGGTCAGGCCATTGACTGTTTTGTCTCTAAGCCACCTCTCTCACCTGCGCTCTCTGCCACCGGACTTTCCCCCAGCCTCTCCATCTCTGCCTCTCTGTGTCTTCTCTTCCTCTTCCAATTGCAGTTTTCTAAATTCATTTTTAGACTCTCCTCCATTTATTCATTCATCTATTTAACAATTACTTATTGCCAGAAATGGTGCAATTTTCTGGGATTCAATAGAAAGCAAGAATAGGCAAAGACCTTGCTTTCCTAAGCCATTAGGAGTGGATTGTGTACACTTCTGTCGCCTCTGGGCCATTCCGAAATATCAGGAATCATCATTCCTTTCTGAAGACCTGAATGTCCACACACTTCTCTGCATCAAAAGGATATGAAAATTGTAAATATATATGTACACAACGCCAGAACACCAAGATAAAAGCAAATATTCTTAGATGTAAAAGAAGAGACAGACTCCAATACAATAATAATTGGGGACTTCAACAGTTTACTGTCTGCATTGTTAGATCATTTAGACAGAACATCAACAAAAAAAAGTTGGCTTAAACTGTGTTGCAGACCAAATGGACCTAATAGACATTTGTGGAACATTTCATCTGACAGCTACAGAATACCCATTCTTCTTATTAGCACATGGAACATTCTCCAGGATACACCATTTTAGGCTACAAAGTAAGTATCAATGAATAAAAATATTAAAATGATATCAAGAACCTTTTCTGACCACAATGGCGTAGGAAGGAAATTTTAAAATTTCTCGAAACAAATGAAAATAGAAACACAACATACCAAAACCTATGGTAGACAAAAAAAGCAGTAGTAAGAGGGAAATTTATAACATTACATGCCTACATCAGAAAAGTAGAAAGATTTCAGATAAAAACCTAAAATTCATCTTAAGAAACTAGAAAAGCAAGAAAAAAGCCAAACCCCAAATTAGTAGAAAGAGAGAAATTTTTAAATTTGGAGCAGAGGCTGGGTGCAGTTGCTCACACCTGTAATCCCAGCACTTTGGGAGGCAGAGGTGAGTGGATCACCTGATGTCAGGAGTTTGAGACCAGTCTGACTATTTTGAAACCCCATAGCTACTAAAAATACAAAAAAATTAGCTGGACGTGGTGGTGGACGCCTGTAATCCCAGCTACTCGGGAGGCTGAAGCAGGAGAATTGCTTGAATCCGGTAAGCAGAGGTTACTGTGAGCCAAGATCGCACCATTGTACTCTAGTCTGGGCAACAGAGTGAGACCGTCAAAAAAAAAAAAAAAAAAAAGCAGAAATAAGCAAAAAGTAGACTAAAAAAGCAGCACAAAATACCAACAAAATGAAAAGTTGGGGAATTTTTTGTTTGTTTGAGACAAGATCTTGCTCTGTCACCCAGGATGGAGTGCAGTGGCATTGTGTCCGGAATTGGTGGGTTCTTGATCTCTCTGACTTCAAGAATGAAGCCATGAACCCTCACGGTGAGTGTTACAGCTTTTAAAGATGGTGTGTCTGGAGTTTGTTCCTTCAGATGTTCAGATGTGCCCAGAGTTTCTTCCTTCTGGTGGGTTCGTGGTCTCACTGACTTCAGGAGTGAAGCTGCAGACCTCCGAGGTGAGTGGTACAGCTCTTAAAGGCAGTGTCTGGAGTTGTTGGTTCCTTCAGGTGGGTTCACAGTCTCGCTGGCCTCAGGAGTGAGGCTGCAGACCTTTGCAGTGAGTGTTACAGCTCATAAAGGCCGCACGGACCCAAAGAGTGAGCAGCAGCAAGATTTATTGTGAAGAGCTAAAGAACAAAGCTTCCACAGTGTGGAAGCGGACCTGAATTGCCATTACTGGCTCAGGCAGCCTGCTTGTATTGCCTTATCTGGCCCCACCCACATCCTGCTGATTGGTCCATTTTACAGAGAGCTGAGCCGTCTGTTTTACAGAGCGCTGATTGGTCCGTTTTGGCAGAGTGCTGACTGGTGAGTTTATAATCCTTTAGTTAGACATAAAAGTTCTCCAAGTCCCCAGATTAGCTAGACACAGAGCGCTGATTGGTGCATTTACAAACCTTTAGCTAGACACAGAGTGCTGATTGGTGCATTTACAAAC